AAAAAAAAACGTTTGTCTAGAAGAAATAACAAATCAAGAAAGAAACAGCGAAGTTCAAGAGATCTCAGTAGATATTAAAAATGATGACTTTAAGACTTCTTAATACGTCAGAATACCTCAAAAGTCCTCATAAGACTTTATGAGATCTCAAAATCAAAGTCCCTGCTCTTTCCTTTTTACAACAAATGATATACATAATGAATTTGATACTGAATTACACTTTATTGAAAATGGGATTTATCTGTATGCTTCAGAAAAGGAATGTAGATTTTTGTCTATAGAAAATTTCTGTAATTCAATGGTGTACATTAATGATAAAATTCTATTTGACGACTGGTAATAAATGAATATAAATGACTTTGTGAAGGTTAGTAGAAGAAAGAACCAATGGACTTCGAGATACTTCTAGATATTTCAGTAGACTTTTAGTGAGTTCAAAAGATGTCAACAGAGTTCATTAGATTTCAAAAGACTTCGGGACTATACATATTGCTGTTTCCTGCTTAGGTTAGTGACTCTTATTCTATCTGCTCTATTGAAAATCATTTACTTTCATATAAATTCAAACAGCGTCTTTTATTCTATTCCCAGGTCGAATAAGCATGGTCGATAAAGAACCATTTTCGATCATGTTTTGTCCTATTGTAAATAGTCTGATACTGATTTTTTCGACCGTGTCATGACACGAGAAATTATAGTCATAATGTGGCCTGTGCTAAAGCGGTATGTTACGACTTTTCACAATCTCAAACTGTATGAAACATGGGGCGAATTATACGACCAAAGATCTTCTCCTCTTCGTCTTATTACCTGCTACGTTATGTGATAACATCTGTACTCCGCGCAAAATTTTAAAAGTTTTCCAAAACTCTTTCGATAACAATTTTGATTTTTGCTCTGAAATATACGCATAAAAGTCATGAAAAGTTTTTAATAAAATAATTGTATTTGTAATTGATTTATTTATTTTAGTCATATTTCATTTCATCAAGCTCATGGAATAATTCTTGCACTTAAAGGTGCAACATTTTCTGAAGAAATTCTTAAACAATTAATAAAAGGAAAAAAATAACAACTGAACCTATAACTGATGCTTTATGGAAATTTTATAAAGCATCACCAGATGATAATATAGGTGTTATTGCTGGAAAAATTCTTTCATTTGTTGTTGGATAAAATAAATAAATATAATTATTTTTCATTTTCTATTTATTTAATAGAAATGAAGTTAGTTCAAAATTAAATCATATAACAGATCTTATTCAAGCTAAAGAAAAAAATCGTCGTTTTGTATATATTTCTTGTTTACTTTTACAATTATTAGCAACACCAAAAAAAGGTATTTTAAAATCTTAATATTTTATTTATTTATTATAAAATAGATTGAAAATGGTATTAGACCAAAACAATTTCGTTTACTAAAAACTCATCATTTATTTAAAATACTTACTAATATTATTGTTTCAAGTAATAACAAAAAATAAAGTTTAAATTTAAATTTTTTACCGTTTTTTAAAGCTTTTCATGATCTCCCTGATCGACAATGGACACCAATGATGGAATCAGTATTTGATATTATTTTAAATTAATCTGCGTGTAAAAAGTCTTTGCACAACATCTCTATTCGATTTTCGCCTACTTATCGGTTGCAGGAGAGAAATAAAAGTAGCCGGTTAGAATCAGAGTCTGATGCTCTTTCTAAATATATGTTCAGATTTTTTTTTCTGACTGACAATTGATTCATTAAGAGCAAACCTTTGATGAGAACCAAAAATGACGTCTGTACAAAACACTACTTTCAAATGTCTAGGTAAATATGTTTGCTCATTTTTCAAACATTCAGATGTAATTGAAGAGGACCGAAAGTAGTCGACTAGAACTAGAATTTGATGCTCTTTCTAAATATACCTTTAGAATTTTGCTTTGACTTACGGGTAGATAGCTGTAAGCAAATACCTGCGTGAATCAAAAAATGTCATTTGCACTACTCAAAATAGGTTTTTTTACGTCATTCGTAATTTCTCTAAAGGATACTTAATGATACTTTTCACTTCCTATTGTTGTAGAGAATTTAATGTTCTACAAGATCATAGGCTACAATAAGCTAGAACTCACAACACTTAAAAGCTACAAACATTTTTCGAATTGCTACTCTTTATGTGAGATGACACTTTTCTAAATAATCTTTTTTCGCGAATTTCGATATTTAAAGTGCAACAAATTCTAATGGTTTTCAACGATATGCAGGAAGCGAAGCAAATTGGGCATTTTGTAGAGTAAGCTACTCTATAAACTGGTGTATAAGAAAACTTTCTTGGAATTTGAATTGAGGTAGTTTTAATCAAAATACAAAAATGAATTACATGAAAAATCTTGTACAAACGTCGTCTTTGACTCCTATCAAAGATTTGCTCTTAATGAATCAATTGTCAGTCAGAAAAAAATTCTGAATATATATTCAGAAAGAGCATCAAATTCTGATTCTAACCGACTACTTTTGTTTCTTTCCTGCAAACTAGAAGTGGATGAAAATCGAATAGAAATGTTGTGCAAAGACTTTTTACACGCAGGTTATTCGAATTATCGAAGAAGCACTAACGCTCAGATGACCGGCTTATGAGCGTGAGCTGTATACTGCTAATAGTAACACGCCTTATTTTAAGATTTAAAAAGATTCCAAAGATTCTGAAAGATTTCGAAAGATTCCAAAAGACTTCAGAGGTTCCGTAAGATTTTCCGCACAAAAATCTGCTTTTTTCTCCCTGCACACTTCACATCTATACACCTCACACCCACACCCACACCATTTTACGTTATTTGGTGCTAGCATACCTGCCGAGGAAACCCATCAAATTGATACCTCTGTTTGAACTCATATTTCACTCATAGGTGGGGCTCATAGTGAAATGGTAGTTGACCATGAATAGCAAGCAGAACCAGGAAGGTCAATGAGTGCGCATTGATTTCAAGAGAGAAGAAACAAGGATTGCTAATAGTAACAAGCTATTTATTCATCTTCGCTGACATTGACAGCTTGATACTCTCTCTCCTTTCAGATGATCAAGTGTTAAGAAGCGTGAAGAGTTATTCAGAAAATTCTTTGTTGAGCGCAACGTTTGGTTGTATGGGTCATTTTATCAGCTTGAGACATGAGTCGCTGTTGAAAAAATGTCTTGAATTTGTTGATACTCATTAAACTGTGATATAATAAATGCGTACTTTTCCTTTCCATTTCTTCTCTTTTCTTTCCTTCCATTATATCTTTTATATGTTTTTTTCTGATTCTTGCCGCCTTCTTCCCTCTGTTTATGTGTGATGCATCTCTTATGGTATCAAATAATCTGTTTGCTCATCTGATTTTATTATGCAGTGCAATCTGCTTCAAGTTCTCTTCTGTCCCTTTGTCAACGTAAGCACTTTTGAGTGTTATATTAAAGCATAATTGAAAAACTCACTTTTGCTTCAGTATATGAAAGATAAGGAACTTTTCATTTTCTTTCACTCATTTGCTCGAGAGTATTATACGATGTCACATTGTCGTAAATCTATTTTTTATAAGTTTGTGCATGATAAGAGGAAAAATTGCCATATCTATAAGCATCTCTTTCCATGTCGAGATCATTCTCTGTTTTGTATTCACAGTGATTTACGTGCTTCTTCTCTATCTACCATGATTGTTTCCAGTATATTTCTTTTGCTTGGACTGTTAGCAGCGCACAGTGCTAGTCTCATCTGCTATGAATGCTCGTGTGAACTTCTTAATCTAGCCTCGTGCATGTGTGATGTCATAAGCAAATTTGATGATGGCATCTATTGCATTATTACCGAGCAAAATTACACAGAGACATCATTTATCGAGTTGGCTCATGCTTCTCACAATTCAACTATCGTCCATATCGAAGATTCCTATTATATTCGTGTACAAAAGTCCATCATCTACAATGAGATGACAGAAGAGTGGTACACAGGATCACACGTTGTTATATTTGGATGTGATTGGGATTTTTGCAATTCTCCGAGTTTGATACTGCCTCTACTTGATGCATTCAAGCTAAACATCAATACGACATGGTTGAACGAAAACATTTACGGCACTGGTTCAGTCACACACTGCCATCAATGTGTCAACCAAAGATGTGGCAACAAAACAATTCCGATTGACTATAATCAATGTCCATTGCAACCTTGCATCAATTCTACTACAGTAAGATGCATAAAGATTATCAAGTAAAAGAAACGACTGAGTAGCTCCGAAGCTGGGGTGGGGGGATTTGCCGACTCCGAAGTGTTCTCATTCTGTTGACATGTGATAATAGTGTGCGCGTTAAATTTTGGTTAAAAACGAACTAACAGATCACAGGACATGTTGTATGTGTATTACTGTCTTTTGCCTCCATTCGATAACAATGAACGCTAACTCTAACGAGCAGATCAAGAGTATATCCATGGCGAATGATAATGCCACTGACTGCTCGCCTCGTGTGTATACCTATAACGTCAGCATGAGTGAAACGTATCTTTTCTAACAGCGGTCTCACGATGTGACCATAGAGAAGCAATTTCACAAAGAAAATGGTTGCTAACTTGACATTGATTAAGTGCAACTTTCATTTTTTCCATTAGTTATCTTATCGCTTACGATTCATTTCATTTAATTTGGTCTCTCACATTATGCTGTGTTTCATAGTTGCAACCGGTACCGACGATCGGCGGTTCGGATCCGATTCTATTCGGTGCGGTTCGGTAAAGGATTTTCTACCAGTCGGTAGAGAAGAAGTTCGCAAAAAGGCACCAATAGGCGCCCGTAACGACTGATTGGCAGTTTTCCATCGTTTAGTGCTGCCATTTTTCGCTGTTTATATGCTAATTACATAGTTAATTGTAGTTGAAAAAAGAAAGGTTGTCATTCCTGCATTACTAAAGCAACTTTTCTATCAATTTAGACCTCTTTTCCTCTGATAATCATTGCTTAATGTGCCCGCTGAAGAGAGCTAGAAATGAATCAGTGTCAGTATTTTGGTGCACACACCGCCACTGATTTCACTGACAGCCCCGATGCACTGACACTGATCTCACTGAACACACTGACACATTGACACGTTGACACTGATTTCACCGAATACACTGGCATACCGACACTGACTTCACTGAACACACTGTTCCACTGAACACTTAAAATACTTACTTGGTGACATACTGACTTCATTGATGATAAACACGGCTAAAATAGCGCTTCGTACGTCTTAGTCGAGTCAGCGAAGCCAGCGTATCACCGAGTCAGTATTTTCAGTGTTCAGTAAAACAGTGTGGTCAACGGAGTCCACTGGATGGTGTGTTTAAATGAGAGTCGCAGTCTAATCACGAAAAAGCATTTCAACGAGATTTTAATTGAGGTATTCGAGATATACAGGATATTCCCGGTCTTGGCGGTATCTGTTGTCGTCTTCTGCTGGAAGTGCCATGAAAGACTAACACACTCATCAATTTGAGGATGGGTGAGTCGGCGAGGGTCTTCTCTTCACCCACTCTCACATCCTACATCCACACCATTTGTTGCTCTATCAGACAAAATTCGGAAAAACGGCGTTTGCAAATGTTCGAAAAGTCATATTTTACGCGGGTAAACAGTGTTTTGTTTAGACTGCCTTCATTACTCGTCTCTAAAATCGAAGTCGTATTTTGCGTTTAAATTCTAGTTACGACTTAGACAAAATTTGAAGGAAAACGATGTTTTCACAGATAAAATGTG